ATTATCTGATGCAGGATGCAGTTGTGTTCCATTTGGAATAAATGAGTTCTGGAAACGAACATTTGCAGATTGGTTTGGTACCTAAGCAGAACAGCCCTACTCAGAAGTAAGTCCCATTTGATTCAGTGGGGCGTACTACTCCCAGGAAAGATTTCTAGATTAATTCCTGCAGTGGGACTGATATGCTGCCCTTAACATTTGTGACTCCTACTTTATAAGATTAACAAAATTTGTGGCAGGGTATAAGCTTTTGGGAGTCACTGGTCTCTTCTTCAGATATCTGAAGAAGTGAGCAGTGACTCACAAAAGCTCCTACTCTGCCACAAATTTTGTTAGTCTCTAAGGTGCTACTGGACTCTTGGGTTTTTTTTCTGCTGCTACAGACAGACTAACACAGCTACCCATCTTGATCTACCTACTTCATATATTTGCCTTCCATCAGATTTACTGTAAATGAGAGATAGGACATAGGACCCAATATTTTTCTCTTCTGTAAAATTTTACATTAACATACGTAAGCAGGAGCTGCGGTGGCTCAAGTGGTTAAGACGCTGAACTGCAGGCTGTGGAAGGTCAGTAGTTCAGCAGTTTGAGACTCGGGTGCCGCATGATGGAGTGAGCTCCCATCTCTAGTTCCAGCTCCTGCCAACCTAGCGGTTCGAAAGCAAGACATTGCAAGTAGATAAATAGGTACCACTTTGGTGGGAAGGTAACAGCATTCCGTGCGTCTTGGTGTTTAGTCATGCTGGTCGCATGACCACGGAAACGTCTTCAGACAGTGCTGGCTCTTCGGCTTTGAAACGGAGATGAGCACCACAACCCTAGAGTCGGATTTGACTGGCTTTCGAGCAAGGGAACGTTTACCTTTACCTTTATATGTAAGCAGGCTTTCTATAGAATAAAACAGGTGTCAAATATTCTGTACTCATTTGTTGCCAGCAAGGGGGGAAAATAAGTGCTTCACTGAAACATGCATCTGTTCCACATGGCACCACTCTCCTGTGGTTTCCCCATTGTTGCTGCAGCTGCCAATGTAGCACAATAGCAATGGTGCTTCTACATGATGGGGTTCCTCCCAGTTTCCCCGGTCCGGGCTCCTCAGTGGCCATCCCCCCATGTGCCACTAGGGAGGCTCTTTGAGTGTTTTTTAAAATAGGTAATTGACATGTTGATAAAATGGTATATCAATATGTCAATTACTGCTTTTTAAACAACTCAAACAATCCTCCCAGAGGCATGAGAAGGTGAATGGCTGCTGCCAGGTATGGGGCAAGGAAATGGCATCACCTTGGGCAGGACTGGGAAAATCCGGACTTTCCCAGCCACATGGCAGCCATCCTGGCTTTGCTGCAGATTCCACCAAAACATCACAGCAAAACAGGTTTGGGTGAAGATTACAGGAAAGATGGGGGAAACTGAGGAAGTGCATGAAAGCTCCACAGAGCCGCAGGGAAGTAACATCCATGCTGGGACAAAGAAGTCGTCTGTGTAAACAAACATGTATTCATATCATTTTTTTCATTCCCTAGTAGCTTTTGGAGGTTGATGATTATTGGAAGTAATATAAGGACCATCAAGCTTGGTTTAGTGGGCGTAATAGAAGAAAGCCCTGTTGGTCGATCGGAGTGGGAAAGAATTGAGAGTATGATGCCTAACTCGCCCACCGAAATCAACAGGACTTGGTGTTTTTACCACTGGTTGGGTTGTGTGTCCATTGTGAGCTACTGGAGTTTTAAAAAGTCACCTACTTACTTCCAAAGAATAGTAATTTTTATAAAGGTTGAATGAACATAAGAACATAAGAGATGCCAATGTTGGATCAGGCCAAAGGCCCATCCAGTCCAACACTCTGTGTCACACAGTGGCCAGAAATACCAGTGCCATCAGGAGGTCCACCAGTGGGGCCAGGACATTAGAAGCCCTCCCACTGTTGACCCCCCCAAGCACCAAGATGACAGATCATCACTTGCCCCAGAGTGAATGAAGCATTCCACAGTGAGGTTTCCTGCTTAATACAGCATCTTAGATTCTAAAGTAATGCTCAGAAGACAAATTCACTTCACCCTGATCAAGTCTCTACTTACTTGATCTGAAAATGTAACCCATAAAAAGACGAATATCAGTGGGCATTTGTCCTTTTGTACATGAAGCTGCCTAATACTGAGTGAGAGCACTGGTCAGTCTTGTATACTCTGGCAGTGGCTCTCCAGGGTCTTAGGTAGAGGTCTTTCACATCACCTTTTACCTGGAGAAGCCAGGGGTTGAACCTGGGGCCTTCTGCATGCAAAGCAGATGCTCTGCCAATAAACCATGGCCCCTCCCTGTGACATCTTTCACAGCATCTAGCCTCTGCAATAACAAACAGTGATCTTATAGAGAGAGAGTGATAGGCACATACAGGGGTCATTTCATAGAAAAAGAGCTGCAGGAGCTCATTAGCATAACTTATTAGCATATGCCACACCCCCTGACATCACCGGAAGTGTGCGCCAGCCCCTCTGACAGGCAGAAGCACCTGGGATCCATTCTTTCCCCCCTCTCCCTTCCCTTTGCCTCCAAGTCGGGCGAAGGAAAAGGGGAGGGGGAGGATCTCAGGCGCTTCTGCCTGACAGAGGTGCTGGTGTGCCCACAGCCAGCCTGGGTGAATTATAGAATCATAGACTCATAGAGTGGGAAGGTACCTCCAGGGTCATCTAGTCCAACCCCCTGCACAATGCAGGAAGTTCACCAATACCACACACACACCCCAGTGACCCCTGTTCCACGCCCAGAATATGATTTAAAAAAACCTCCAGGATCACTGGGGGCCAAACTGGCCTGGAGAAAAATTGCTTCCTGGCCCCAAAGTGGCGATCAGCATTTCCCTGGGCATGTAAGAAAGGGCCACAAGAACTAAGCACTGATGCAACCCTTCCTGCTCTACCTCTCGTGATTTGCCTAAGTTCACACAATCAGCATTATGATCCTTTTAAAGTTGAAAGCATGATATAAATGCAAAGGACTATTTGTAAGATTATCTGTAAAACACAAGACCAGGACGCAGCTCACTTCTGGCAATCACTTAGAGAGACCCTATCACTCAGCTTCCATTGCCCCACACACACCCCACACTGGAATAAGAACATAATATCACGCCATACCACATTGCAATAAAGCCCCTACAACTGTATACAGAAATACTGAGCTTCCCTACCATTTGCCACAACTAGCCCACCACACAACCAGGATCAAGACTCCTAAGTGGACCAACAGACAGGCATACACTCGTTTGAGAAACTGAGTATTACATTACAACACCTCTGGAACATTACAGATCAGTAGAGGCAGCACTGCACAGTGGTCAGAGTTGCAGATTGATGTGGGGAGACCCAGGTTTGTATTCTCACTCTGCTGGCTGAGTGACCCCGGGCCAAATCTCCCCTTCTCTACCTAACCTACCCCACAGGGTTGTTGTGAGGATGAAATGGAGACTCATGGGCAGGGTCCCCAGCTTCCCTGGCAGGAACACTATGTTAAGAAATCTCTCACAATTATGCAGCCATAGCAGGCAGGAGGGAAGGAGGCGAATACCTCCAGCGCCAGAGACTTGTAGAGGAAGAGTCAAACTTTGGGGACTCACCCATGCACCAGAGGGCCAAGGCAGCAGGAGGCAAGAAGCCTGGGCGAGCTGGGCTCCTCCATGCCTGGCAGAAGATGAGGTGCAGAGGCGAGAGGTGGGCACGCAGAAGAGGCACTCAGCCAGCCGCACTAGCTGCGTGCAAAGAAACTCCCACCGCCCCAAGCTTCAGGGCTGCCTCGTTAAAGGACTGCGGAGGCCAGACTTGCAAAAGAGAAAAAGCAAGCTCAGGGTTCGTGGGTCGCATTTTGGGCTGTGGAAGAAGAACTGGCTCCATTCCTGGAGTTCTCTCGAGTTCCTGCGCTTTTGGTTTTGCTTTTTGCCAATCCGCCTCCCAAGACTGATCCAGGTGCTCCGCCTGAGGGCTGCCGGAGGCGGGGCTCGAGTGCTCATTACTTGTGGAGCTGAGGCTCAATGTATCCAGCTGCTCCGCCACCTTCCCTTCCCTTAGTTTCCTCTGGGAGCCCGAGCAAGCCGGCTGCTGGAGGGAAGGAGAGGCGGTTTAAACCACTTTCCCTTTTTTCCCACCATAGAGAACAATGGAGGGGATGGGGCAACCTGTTTGGGGGCACGTAGAATTGGACTCCCTGGTCCAATGTTCTTCAAACATGGTTGGTATCTTGGGGAGAGGCTCCAGCAGCTACCCTGCGAGTTTGGAGCCTCTCCCTCAAACTCCCTCCACCCCCCAGAATATAACCTATGTTTTCGCCATTGACTTCAATGGCCCATAGGATATAATGGGGCCGAAATTAACATTCGGCTGGCCCTTTTTCAGGCCCGACGTTCTAGCGTGGAGAGGTGGAGGTTCACACGTAGGCTTGCCAAGTCCCCTGCCCCAGAGGCCCGTTCCCCACCGCCGGCGGATCGGCCCCCGATGGGAACCCCACCCCCAAAGCACGTGACATGCACGTCCCCCGGAAGTGACGCGACCAAGCCGGGCACGCTGGGGGCGGGGCCACGGTCATCCGAGGGAAAACTCGATGGTTTTCCCTCGGATGGGCGTGGCCCCGCGCGCGCGCACTCCCGGAGCAGCGCTAGAGTCCCCCACTCCAGCGCTGCTTAGGACTTGGCAATCCTATTCACACGCGAGAGATGGAATTTGCCCCTACGAGTCCAAGGCAACCACCCCAGGACTCAGGGAGGCAGGAGAACGTTTTGCCCTGCCCCTGCCCCCCCCCAGCGGGCGTCGCAGCTGCCGCCAAGAACAGCGGTGGCCATAAGTTTTTAAAGAGCCCCTAAGGAGAGCTGGGGGAGCCAGAATGACCTCTCACGCGAGAAGTGGAATTTGCCCCTACGAGTCCAAGGCCACCACCACGGGGCTCAGGGAGGTGGGGGAATGTTTTCCCCCCCACCGTGTCCCAACTGATGGCTGGTGGAGTACGGGGCTGGGCTTATGTGCCCTCTCCCTTGGCGGAGCGGTGCTGGCAGAGCGGTGCTCCGGTGCGCTCCGGCAGGAACTGAGGCCTGGGCACATATAATAGGAAAAATAGTTTATGTATTAGAAGTGTCGCATTTTAAGCCACCATCTAATGGTTTAGATACCATAAATGTAACCTGAAGTATAAAATATTGTCCATCATATCTGCAAAGCCAAGTGACCAATCATGAAATCTCCAGGTAGCTTTCTTTTTTGGTCCTGCAACTGAAAGATTGCTGCCATTCATGGAACTGCAAAATCAAATTTGTCCTCTGCTGCTCAAATTGTGGCCAATATGCTCTCATAGTGCATATTGTCTGTGACAGCCCAGGGGATAGATATGAGGTTCCCATCTTGTTGGATTGCAAGACTGTTCTAGCATATTAAAATGATGAGTTTGATCCTACAGCTCCTTTCTGCTACATTGGGGGGTTCCGTCTGTTAGATCACGAGCTGTTACCTACCAGAAGAAAACTGTAGGATCCAACCCAATAATTCTGTCTTGTGCAAAATAACGAGCAACTTCAGATCAAAATTTTAAAAACACGCTGGGTGATGTTGTTCTGCTAGCACTATGAATACTATCACCATGTTCCCTCGTACATATCATGATTAGGGGCAAAAAGCTGGGTAGACAATTTCAAGCGTAAGCAACCTGTGTTTAGTCCCTGGGGAACAGAAGGTATCTTGCAGTGCTGACCATGTAAGGAGGAGATCTTGTGAGCTCAGGGTTCTCAAGAAGTTTGAGATCTCCTTTGAGACATGCCAGCTGTAAAGACAAGACACTCCCCTTCGTATAAGAGGCATAGGATAAGGATAGATTTCCAGAGAGACAGAGAGAGGCAGAGTAGCATTTTCCAGGAAAGATGGTGAGTGCAAACTGTACAGGGAGACGGGCTAGGCGATTTTCATTACCACATTCTGGTGGTGTTTTGATTGAATACATTTCCTTTGAATAATCATTGAAGCCTTGAAGCCTGTGTGTCTTTCACTCAAAAGAGGAGTCATGGGCCCTCCATGACAGGGCCATATATATATTACCTAATATTGGAATATTGTAGCTGGAACTGGCTGTGGGTATGTGAGGTTTTCCTAGGTGGGTTCATATTGTCTTCATTTCAGGCCAGCAGAAAAACCAAGAAGAAGGAAGGTGGTGCTAAGCGTGCTGCGAGAGCTTCCTCCAATGTTTTCTCTAACTTTGAACAGACACAGATTCAAGAATTTAAGGAAGTAAGAAAATGTCTCCTTTTCCAGAAATGTATAGGTTGGAAATTTTAGATTACGATGATCTGTTTAAGATGGGTAGCCATGTTAGTCTGTAGTAGTGGAACAAAATTTGAGTCTGGTAGCCCTTTAAAGACCAATATTTCCCGCGGTATTAGCTTTCGTGAGTCTAAGGTCCTTTAGATACAGCTGTGTTAAAGTCTGTTTCAGATACAAAACTGATTGCATGTGCATAGCTGAAGTAAGACTGGAGTTTTTGACAGTGTTGTAGCAGAGGTCAATGTTTTGTTAATAGAACTGGGCAGTACGTAGGTAGGTGGCCTTTGACTTCCTCTATAATGTAGACAGGATCTCAAGAGTTGACCAGTGATGCTTACTTGGTACATGTATTTGAAACTGGGACTTCAAAATGCTTAACTTTGCCTGAACTGTGCTTTTGCCCTGGCAAATTTGAACTGGAATCTAGAGAATCATGACAGAAGAATAAACTGCACTCAGGTCAAATTGTCCATACAAATTGTGTGGAATAATGTGCTATTGGCCCATGTTATTCAGTAGGGGTTACTCCTGCGGTCACAAACACTAAATAATCTGCTTTTAGTTCACACAGTAAAATCTAGTTGGAAAGTGCACTGAAAGTGGATTATTAAGTGTGTGTGACCCCAGCCTTAAAATTGCAGTCAAAACCTCATAAGAACCAAGTCCTACGATAATTTCTATAGATGATAAGTACTGTTAAGATGAAAGTGAATGTGGTTAGCTAAGGGATACAAATATTGTTGTAATCAGAAAGAGCTAGTATTTTACAATTTTAAACTTTTAATATAAATTTTCCTGTAGGCTTTCACATTAATTGACCAGAATAGAGATGGCTTCATTGATAAAGAAGACTTAAAAGACACCTATGCTTCTCTAGGCAAGTACTGTGAAATAATCATATCCTCTTTGAACTCATTCGTTGTTACCCTTCATTATTCTTATGTCTTTTTAATTTCAAATTATTTAAATTCTGTACATTAGAAAATGTCCATTATATCTGTCCCAAGTGTTCATATCCTATTAATTCACACAGCAAGAATAAATTGGATCTGAAGCTTATTTTCACATTTTGCTACTGTTAATACAAATGGTTTAATCTCCCTGTATGCTTGCAAATCACATAGTATTACAAAGGAAATAAGAAAGCAGAGGACACTTTTATATGCCATACAGTTAAATTTTGCTTCTGTTTAAGGACTAAGTTTTGGAGAAAGAGCCTCTTTAGCACAGATATGTTAATTTTATATACATATTCCAATGGATAACTGACTTTCTTTTTGCTCTTAGGTAAAACAAATGTCAAAGATGAGGAGTTAGAATCCATGCTTAAAGAAGCCACTGGACCGATTAATTTTACAATGTTTTTGAACCTATTTGGGGAAAAGTTAAGTGGTAAGTCAACCTACATCTTTCCCTCTATATCTTTGCAATGAAAAGGGTTAGAGACTTCCTTTCCTTTAAAAAGATGAGGTTGAGAATTCAGAACTAGTAGATTGTGGCAATAGATTATAATAGTGTTATTTCATTACAGCACAATAGCAATTTATTGATTTTTTAAAAAAAGTTCCCCCAAAGCCCCCTAGTTATCAGAAAGAAAACGGTAACTGTGAGAGGCTGCTGAGGGGAAAACATCACCTGTGTAGACATGTCCTTCAGAAATGCACACCTTTTGTGCAGATGGCTTGCGAATGCATGTGGACTGCATTCTTTCTGGAAAGATTGTTCCGAACGAGGTTTGAGAAGGAATATACCAAACATAGGGAAAGCCCAGGAGGTGGATAATTAGAGGACAAAGTCATGTCAATACTTTAAAGCCAATGAAGAGAAAAACCTGTATCTCCCTGTGGATGCAGCTAAAGACAATTGTGTTGCAGAGGAATCAAGATAAAAGGTTGGCAGCCAGGTTTGACTAGATATTTCTGTCATTTTATTGGACTTTTCTTGCTAGCTGTATGGTGGTCCAGAACGCTAAGAAAAAGATAGCTCCTCTTGATTGAACATGCACACTGGGGGGCGGGGAAGAGAGAGCTAATTCTACGAAGCAGGTCACAATGGAATCAATGGGACTGATTCCCAGGTAAACTCTTTAGCTTTGTTGTATTAGATACCAACTGAAGAACTTATTCTTGGAAGTAGGTTCCAATGGAATCGATGAGACTGGCTCCCAGATAAACTGTTTAGCATTGTGGCATTAATTGGTAGACTTAGTATATGCGAACACTGCAGTCATAACATTGATAGGCGTATTTAATAATGGATACTTAATTGTTGTTTTTCTATGCTGGAGTGCTCTTGGAGGCCTTCCTCAATTCCTGCTGTGGCCCTTCTCCACATTCTTTTTCTACACCAAGCCTACTGCTTTCTCCTGTTGGCTTAATTACCACCAATCCAGCACAGTAGCACTGACAATGTTACGGCATTCTGGACTTTGGAACTAGTATTTCCTCTCTTTCTCTCTCACATACCCATTCTTACATGCCTCTGGCTCCTCCATGCTTTCCAACGTCAAAGCCATTCGGGGATGTAGTTCCAAGTTTCTGTGTAGGCTATAGCAATGTCGACACACGCTGTCTTGGTTGTGGTTCTCTTGCACTCCTTGCCAGGAAATAAGGCAGGGTATAAATATTTTAAATAGAATAGATAGGTAAGTTGGGTAGCAACCTGTTCCTTTATCCCAGTATTCATCCAGAGTCCACATTTTGCTTAAAACCTTTGAGCTCTCCTAAGGAAGGACTTGCTTCTAAGAGACGTAATTCTGCTAGGCGGCTCAGCCAAAGCAAATTCTAGAAGGGAACTGCAGCAACTAAAAATGAATGATGCATCTTCCCAGCAGATGAACGGGGGCTTCGCATTACTGATCCCGCATCACTTTCCTTCCATTGTTTTCTACAGGTACGGACACTGAAGAAACCATACTAACGGCATTTAAAATGTTTGACCCAGAAGCAAAAGGAAATATTAACAAGGATTAGTAAGTATGAGCCGCCCGCGCACAATCTCAAATTTGATTGGCAAGCTTGTGTTTGTTAACCTTGGCTTCCGAGGGCATGAGAGTTATAGACGTATCCTTAAATGTGCATCTCTCCCAGACACAAGTGGGTGAGAGGTGTGATTGCTGTCATGTTTAAAACTGGCCTCTGTCCTGACCTCAGTGAGAATATAACATATAGACTATGGGGTACAGCAAATAGAGTATAGTAAATACAAAATAAATTGCTGAAAAAGTTCACAAAAATATAAAGATGTAATACATTTCAAATATCAAAGATGTAATTTAATATTTGTTTTCCAGCAGGTGCTAGCAGGTATACAGCACAGGAACAAGTTTTGCTAGTTATGCGACCCCCGAGCAAAACTTGTTCCTGTGCTGTATACCTGCTAGCACCTGCTGGAAAACAAATATTAAATTACATCTTTGATATTTGAAATGTATTACATCTTTATATTTTTGTGAACTTTTTCAGCAATTTATTTTGTATTTACTCTGTCCTGACCTCATCAGATCTCAGAAGCTAAGCAGGGTCGGCCCTGGTTAGCATTTGGATGGGAGACCACGAAGGAATACCAGGGTCGCAACACAGAGGCAATGGCAAACCCCCTCTGAGTGCCTCTTGCCTTGAAAACCCTATAGGGTCGCCATAAGTCAGCTGTAACTTGATGGCAACCCCCCCCCACAACCTCAGACCAACACCTCCACTGATTAGTCTATACATTTGATTTCTCCTCTACCGTTCTGTTTCGTTGACGTTCACAAGGCAGAAGAAACTCAACTACATTTTTTCCATGTCACATGCAAAAATAAGTCTTGGGCCCAGATTCCTATGTTACTAGTTGCAGTATGGCTGCCGATGCATCGTCTGTGATGCAGGATCAGTACCTATATCAAAGTGATTGGGTATGGAAGCACAGCTCGCGCTGGTTTCCCACTCTGCATCCCTTATTTGCCTGTACTGCCTCGGGATGTGATCCCGCAAATCAAGTCACCCTGGGAATGTTGTTTAGATCAACTGCAGACTTGCCACCCCATTGCTACTGCTACAGGAGTTAGCACTCAAATTAGGCCACAGACAGAGTTTAGGGGACTGTGGGGGGAATTTGGCTCAAGTATAGGCGTGGGTGACAAATTGCCCTGCACTGAATTAGGGCTACTTTTCGCACGGCATTTTAAAATAGCTTTGATAATAGTCATTAACCATCCCTTTCTCTCTGTTCCTTAAACAGTATCAAACGCTTAATGATGTCACAGGGCGACAAGTTTACTGCTGAAGAGGTTGGTGTACTCTTTGCCGTCATTTAAGAGTGTAATTCTTTTTAGGATGAGCACGTTTCAAAATAACCCAACACTTTCTGAATTGCCACCAGGGTCATATTCTTCTGAAAACGGCTACGACTTCTGGTCGTGGTAGAGGGAGGAGGTGTGTGTCTATGAGGTGAACTGGCTCCCCTCCAGTTTGAACTGTGTGGCTGAACTAAAAGGATTTTTTTCCTCCAGTCCAAGATCCACAGTCTTAAACTTCTTTTCAAGCAAACTCTGATGTGCCCAAAGAACTCCCCACTCCTAAATCCCAGGTGTACACTTAGGAACCTGCCTTGTACCCAGTAAAATGTCTAAAATGTCAGCTGAACTTGAGATCTGCTACAAGGAAATGAACCAAAAGCAACTCCATTTTGTGTGCCTTAAAACTTAAAAATCTTTGTATGTCTGAATTCCTGAACTCTGCCTGAATTCTGCTAATGTCATAAATGGTAACATCATTTAGGAGATGTTATGTTAAGAATGTATGTGCCTGCTTCAGGTAGATTTAGAGACAGAGAGAGAGAAGAGATTGACTTTATACCGTGCCCTTCACTACCCAAAGGAGTCTCAGAGTGGTTTACAATGTCCTTTCCCTTCCCCTCCCCACAACAGACACCATGTGAGGTAGATGGGGCTGAGAGAGCTCTTTTGAAAACCGCTCGTGAGAGAACAGCTCTGAAATAACTTGTGACTGACCCAAGGTCACTCAGCTGGCTGCATGTGGAGTAGTGGGGCATCAAACCCTGTTCTCCCGGATTAGAGTCTGCATTCCTAACCACTACTCCCAACTGGCTCTCTCTTAGTGCTCTAGTCAGTAAGCTAAACAAGTGTCTGGTGCAATGCTTCCTCTAAGCTATAGAGTCTTGTGAGCACGAATTCTACTTTGTGAGCGACTGGCGTTAAAGTTGTGAGCAGAGGTCATTTCGGGGGGGAACGCGGGGGAACACAGTTCCCCCAGGTGAGGTGCAGGGGGCGGGGCACATGATGAAGCCCCGCCCCCTGCTTCCGGCCGCCCTGCTTCCAGCCCTCATTCAGCCAGGAGGAGCCAGGAGAAGAGGGAGGGGAAGTTGCTTCCTCCCCGCCTCTCCCCACCCCTGCCTGCCTGGGGCCAGGGAGGGCCTTGGCGGGGCTTCCTCGCACTCCCGCCGGCCTTTCAGGGCCACCGCCGGGCACCTGATGTCAGGGGGTGTGGCATATGCTAATGAGTTATGCTAATGAGTTCCCCTAGCTCTTTTTCTACGAAATAACCCCTGGTTGTGACTGAGCGATTTGCCTACTGCATAGTTTGTCCTGGAGCCATCCTTCCTGAGCGAAGACAAAAATGTGTGAGCCAGAGGCTAAAAAACTGTGAGCTGGCTCACACTATCTCAGCTTAAAGGGAACACTGGTGAGGTCTGTTCTGAGCCTAGCCTCAGAACTAAGACATGGAGGTTAGAAGATGAAGACATAAACCAGGAACAGTTGTCTGCTATGAGTAATTGCCTGTTATCTACAGGTTATCTCAGCTCAAGATCTTTCACATCATCTACTTAGTGACTGCCTGATCCTTTTAATTGGTGGTGCCCGGGATTGAACCTGGCACCTTCTGCCCCCAAAGCGATTGCCGTGCCACTGAGTCGGCACCTTTCCCAAGTGGCCTTTGTGAGGCACCTGGAAGAACTAAAGGGCAGAAGAACTTTTTTAATGTTTCTTTTGGAGCTGTTAGATGTTCTGTAGTGGATTGCATTTGTGTCTTGAGTCTGACGTTGGCTTTTTTGTTTGATAAGCTGCAAAGTGGCTCCCAGTCTTCCAAATCCTTCTGCTGTTGTCTCCTGAAGCCCAGTTGCTAAACTTTGCTCTTCACCATGCTTTTTTTTTTAATGTACAGATAGACCAGATGTTCCAGAGCTCTCCTATTGATGCAGCCGGAAACCTGGATTACAAAGCTCTCTGCTATACCATCACACATGGAGAAGAAAAAGAGTAAAACCTGACAAACGTTTGGCTGTTGCATCAACATCTCTCTATCCATGCATAAAGAACTAAAATAAAACTGGAGTTCATTTTTTTGTTTGCCTTTTCAAGAGGCATGAGCATTGTGTGTCTTAATTTGAACACGTGCTGAGAGTGGAAATGCTGATGTTAAAGTTAATAGCAGCAGCAGAGTATCACATTTTTTTTTATCACTTCCTTCATGCCCAGCTGAAAGATGAAAGAAAAATCTTAGGGACACTGTACTTATATTCTGAAGGCACTTCCAAATAGGCCCCCGCCGCCGCCGCCCGCCGCCGCCCCGGGCTCTTTTTGTAGCAGGAACTCCTTTGCATATTAGGCCACACACCCCTAATGTAGCCAATCCTCCAAGAGCTTACAGAGCTCTTCTTACAGGAGCTACTGTAAGCTCTTGGAGGATTGGCTACATTAGGGGTGTGTCGCTTAATATGCAAATGAGTACCTGCTACAAAAAGAGCCCTTCAAGATGAAGCACTTTTTTTGTGACAGGCTTGTAGAATCAAGAGGGGCTTCCTCCACTGATGACGATCCATATGGACTAGTGCGATCGTTGTAGCTGGCCCAGCAATAGCTGTACCTGTATGAAGCTTATGGTAACAAACACCTGGTGTGTTCCACTGCCGGATGGGTTTGCGTGGTTTCTTGGCACTTTCCCTGCCTAGTCCCCCACAAGTGGCCATTTCCCTTGCCACAGAGGGCTTTAAAAAAAATTGGCCATTGACGTTTCATTATAGCAATCTGTCTACCAGGATTTATGAATTCCCAGTTTTTTAAATAAAAGTCTATAGCCCTTTTCATTGTAGAGTTACAGGGGTCATTTCCTGCAGGAGCGCACAGGAGTGGAGCTCCGGCAGTAAAGATCCCAAGGGGCGGGCACATCCAACAAGCCCCACCCCCTGCTCCCAGCAGACTTCAGTCAGAGCAAGAAGCAGCCAGGTAAGATGCAGAGCTCCCCCCGGCCCCCCGGTTCAAAACAGTCCAGTGGCACCTTTAAGACCAAGTTTTATTCAGGTACAAGCTCTCCCTCCTCTGCGAGGACAGATCTGCATGCCCCCCCCAATAGCTAGCAATCCAAAACAGTCCAGTGGAGCCTGAGCGGTGGGTGTTGCCTTCTGACACACTTCCGGTGATGTCAGGGGGTGTGGCATATGCAAATAAGTTATGCTAATGAGCTCCTGCACATCTTTTTCTACGAAATGACCCCTGTAGAGTTATAAAGGCATATCTATGCAACAAAAGGGGATAGAGAGTTATTTTTAAACTGAAAGCTGGGAATTCGGAGAACATCAAGGACAGATTGTTATAGTGTTACACAGATATGCCTGTTGCTGATTTAAAAGAGAAGAAATGGAGCCCTCTAGCAGCAGGCAGAGAAATGGCTGCTACAGGGGATTGACACAGGGAGAACGGCACTGACGTGGGCAGGACTGTGAAGATCTGGACTTTCCTGTCCACGTGGAAGCCAGCCTGGTTTTGCTGTGATCTTTCCCAAAACATCAGCACAAAACAGATTTGGGAAAGACTGCAGAAAAGATGGGGGAAACTTGGGAGATGCGTTGAAGCACCCGGGTGCTGTGGGGAAGCAGGAGGAAAAAAGCATCCGTACCAGTAGCATCCAAGCTGGGACAAACAACTTGTGCAAAAGCGAGAGTAGCTTTTCTGTGAGCTCCTTTTTCCTCTGCATTCCACGTTCATGCTCTATTAAGCACGGAGTTATTTATTTTTTTTTGCCTTTTTCAAGAGGCCTGAGCAAGAGTGAACAGCCACATGGTCCTGCTGCCCATGTAAACAAATTAGGCTGACTGTGCCACCATCATTTGCCACTGAGCACTGAAAACTACCCTTTTCATCCAAGGGAACCAAATAAAATGAAATCTGGCCCTGGTCACACGGGAGGTTTTGGCCCGCAAGAGGGACGGATCGGGGCAGCAGCAAACGGGTGCGATCACACCGCAACATCTAGGAAGTGGCGCGCACCTGTCCCCGATCAGGCCGAAAACGCGCATTAAAAAAAACCCCTAGGAAATGCTAGCACCAACCTGAAACGCCGCAGCAAGTGCGGCTGTGGGATCGCCGGCGCGCATGTCTTCAGAAGCATTTGAGGCTCTCGGCCAAACTGCGCATGTGCACACATGTACAGCCGGCTGCCTCGCCCTCCCGTCCGTGGCTCCCCCCCCCAGCATCTGATCGTGCCGGGGAGCAACTGCGTGGCGGTTCAGGGGATCTGTCTGATCCCGCTGCTGCGTGTCTCTTTTGGTGCGGCTCTAAAAAGCCGCACTTTGGCCGCGTCAATTTCCCCCGTGTGACCGGGGCCTCTATTGTCCCTCTTTCCAAGGGCCACCAGGGCCTCTATTGTCCCTCTGTCCAAAGGTGTACTTTTAAAGCAGCTGTGTCCGTGCCTCTGATTCCTTTGCGAACTGTGTCCTCCTGACACCCTCTCAAGTCTGTATCTGCCTCTAGGCCCTCCCTGGTCTCTCTCTGCCTTGTTCACATACATTTTCTGGACCTCACACAAACCGATTTCCTCAGCCTCCTTGTTCAGCAATGGTGCCCATTTCCCAGATTTCCTTTTCTGTTCATAGAAACAGTCTCTAAAATTATACATCCTCTGTATATGCTCATTAAAAAGGGAAAATTTCTAGTTCTGGAGAGTGGTTGAAATGAGACAAGAGACCAAGTCTTGATGGTGTAATTGTAATTGCCCCTCCCCCCTTTAATTTAAAAAAAGGTTTAATTTAATCAAAAAGTATTCAGCTCATTTTAAATCAACACATGTATAAGAGAATTAAGGAGGCATCTGTCAGATTTGAGAGTGAATTTCAATATACAATACCATATACACTATAGTTCATAACAATACAGGTAGCATCATAAGCCACTTGAAACACAAATGTCACTTTATATCCATAGTAAAGTGCAGTGAACGGGACAGCAGAGAAACTTTGTAAACTAGCTCATGTAGTGCTTTTCAAGAAGGGTCTCTGCACTGTTTGCCTAAGATATAGAATGCTGAGCTTTTCTTGGGGAAATTGCATCGAACTTTAGGCACAGCTCTTACTTCTAGCTAATAAAAATATCCATGAAAAAGAGGCAGCTTTGCAGCCTAGACGACTGCACATCCCAACTGGACACAAAAGCTCTGGGAGAAAAACCACTATCTTGATAAAAGGCAAAGCTAGCAAATTATTAGACAATTGGCTAACTCATTGTCTGCTGGAATCCATTTCCTGACCTATCTTTAGTCTCAGAAGAAAACTCCTGGTGCTGTATGAAGCCGTGCTGGGGAAATACTGAACACCCATTGGCACCAGCTTCACTTTGGGTTGGAACCAGCACAAGATCTAGATGAAGCTGATTAAAATCTTCACATGTCTAAGCCCTAGTAGCAAATTTCTAGGCACCTGGATTCACTTTTTAAAAATTTCTCCTTAGCAGCATTGGCTTCACAATCTGATAGTTGCATTTTTAGTCTTAGCTTTGAGTGCCAGACCGCCCCTTACCATACAGAATGACTTCCTGGGGGAGGGGTTGTTGTTGTTCAGTCACACAGTCGAGTTCGACTCTTTGCGACCCCATGGGTCATCTCCCACCAGGCCCTCCTGTCTTCTGCCATCCTCTGACGTTGGCTCAATTTCATGTTCGTTGCATCGATGACACTGTCTAACCGGGGTACATCTGTTGATATTAATGCATCCTATCATACATGCCCATTTTACGGCCTGATACATGTCTTCCTGGTCATACGGAGCCAATGGGTTTATGCATATCAGTTCACTGCTTTTACTACTCCTTGACATTATTGAATCCCCTCACAGAGAGGTAAAGCCACAGTCTCAGACTTCCTGCTCTTCCTCCATAACCATTCCCAGCAAGAAGACTTAGACCATCAAATTGATAAGGTCCTGTTAAACACATCCACCAACCCGCACGCTATTCTGTACGCAAAGCAAAGGCAGAGGGGCTCAGGTATACATTTAAAATGCTATAAGCCTACCTTCCTCCCAGAAATCTGGGACCCAAGGTGGGTAGAAACCACTGAATTAAAAACCAGAACTTGCAGCAGATGTCAGGCACAGAATTCCTAACGCACTTTGCCACCTAAGCTTTGCCACGCTGCTGCCTCACTGTGAGGCCTTCAGCGCCCTTCTAAAAAGCTCAGCCTCTTCCGAAAGCCATCGACATGAAGGCCTTCCTGACGAGTTCGGGACCGGTGCTCCAAAAAATGGAGGCGACTGAAGATGCTCGCCACTGAGCTGCAGCCGATCGTGCCCAGCTATAAGAGGAGACAGAGAGAAACCAACAATGAGATGCCTTTCAGTGCCTGGGAATTTGCATTGGCCGTCGTCACACCGGAAGCATTTTTGTTGCTTGAACCAAGGGACCTAAGTTATAAGCTGAATACACCCAGTTGCGGCTTGGACCCACAAAGTCAGACGTGCTCAAGGCATATCAATTCCACATAGCTATCCCAGTAAAAGCACAGCAAAGGCCCTAGGACAACGTTTCAGGAGGAGACAGACATGCTTCCTCTTCTTCTAATACATCCTCCCGTGGCCTGGACAGCGACATGATGTGCTTGATTGTCACCAGTGCTACTCGGACGAGGATACGCAACACAAGGAAGGCAAACGGGATGATTATCTGCATGAGGTGAAAGATGGTGGCACTCAGTTCACTGAGGACGCAAGTCAGGAAGAAGGCAAGCAGGCTGACGCAAGGATAGAGCGCGAGCTTTGCAAACATAAAGGCGTGTTCTTTCCCGCCATACCTGGCGTAAGGATGCAACGTCTCTCTTTCGTAGAACAGAGCGGCCGTCCATATGCCGAACTGGAAGATGCTGCCGAAAAAAATGGTAACGCAGCTGACCTGGATGGCTTCAATTTCATTGTGGGACTTCTTGGCGAACTTGCTGGTCAGCTGGTAAGCGAGAGGGAGCCCTCCGATGAAAGCCAGGGAAAGGTTATTGAGGAGGCCCATCAGTTGAGTGGTTTTCGTCACATGGAGGAATAGCGAGTGGTGGACAAACCAGAGAAGGCCGACAGTGACGAACGAGCCAAAGTAGGCAAGGAAATTCGGACCGTATTCGCCCAAAGCACTGATGAGGTGTCCGTGGTATTTCTCTCGAACTACTTTAGCATCAGGAACGTTATCTTCGCTGTTGGGGATGAGAATATCATTACACTGGGTAGACAGGCATCGAGCTAAATTTTATAAGGACACTTTGGTTACATTTTAATTTTTTATAAATATATGCTAAGCCATTTTACATTCTGCCTCCAGCACAATCTAATATGCAGTGGCATTCTGAACAGTCATACCCATCTAAGCCTTTTGATGTCAGTGGACCCAGAAGGGTGTAACTCTGGCAAATTATATTTATGGGGAAACCCCTCCCCCCCAAAAAAAAAATCCCTAAAACCAAAAGCCAGGTAATATCATTCTTTATATTTATGGGGAACCCCCCCCCCAGCAAAAAAAAATCCCTAAAACCAAAAGCCAGGTAATATCATTCTTTCATGACTAACCAAACTATCAGAACACAGTGTGTTCTGCAAAACTCTTCATCAGATTGGATGCTTTTTTAAAAAGTGGAAGTAGGGGAAAATGACACTTCATGCCATAACATTATGGCTTCTGGTCTTCCTCTTGCGCACAATGTGTTGAAGTGCAATCCTAAGCAAAGTGACACCCTTCTAAGGCCACTTAAGTCAAAAGGCTTAGATGTATATTAGATTGTGCTGGACGTAGAATGTTAAAGTGCTAAGCAGGCACTATACATGGCCCTAACTATGAACGACAAACATGAAGCAAAGGTGGAAATTACTTGATCTGTATTTTTTTATATGTGTATGTGTGCGCGCACACACCTGGAAGCCATGGTGACCTCTGGTGAGTGTGGTGACTGACCCCTACTGGGGGCCTGGAGGATATTCAGAGAGGTAGCTGAATAAAGCCTGCCCTTGTCCTCCCGACTGCTGATATTCCAAGGAGGTCTCCCATCCAAGGACTTGCCATGGTCCACACTGCTTAGCTTCCAAGATCGGACTTGCCTGGGCTATCCAGGTTAGGGCGGGCGGAAATTACTTTTGAGTGCATTAGGCAGAAAGATTTCCCACAGGGATAGGCTAGTACAATTCTCATCCAAGCTTGAGAGAGGAGAAACTGACTTCAAGATACTGAAACACACGTGCAAAGGAATAGTTAAGAGCAACAGTGGATGTAAGTTTCATGAGACTGCTGAAGACTTACCATATATCCAGAATTAACAGGGTTGCTACAATGGCATAGACCCCATCAGTGAAGGCTTCTACTCTTTCCTTGCTCAGAGGTTCATTGAGATAAAAAGTAAACGACTCTAAAGGCAACTCCTCTTCCCGACCTGCAAGCCACAACAAGTATGCTTAAGTATGCTGCAAGCTTAACAAGTACGCACAGGCAATAATACTGCTCCAGAAGTTTAAAAGGAGGAAAACACCATTTTAGCCTATGTACAGTTATTTTGGATTGTATACTCTGGATCTCCGCTGTGATGGCTTCGCTCACCGGAGCAAAGCCTTCTGAAGGTCCTACCCTGCAAATGGGTTAAAATCGGCAACTGTCTGTGCAAGTGCATTCTCTGTGGGGGCTTCTGCATTATGGAACCGTCTGCCTGAGATTATTACGAAGGCCACCCCACTTCTGTTGTTTTACAGTATGCACCAAACAGAGTTGCTTCGAAGGGCATTTCTGCAGAGGTAGCAGAGCTGTGATGTAATGGTTCCGCTCAGGAGGTAACCTCTATTAGGCTTAATGTGTGTGTTTTCCCTTTTAGTCATTCTGATGTTAGCAAGGACAAGAATGGGGGCTGTTTTCCTGCAGGTCTGCAGTAGCCAGGGCCATAGTAGCATTACAAAACGTTTCCTGTTGTCCTCTGCAGAAATGCCCTTCGAAGCAACTCTGTTTGGTGCATACTGTAAAACAACAGTAGCAAGGGCCATAGTAGCATTACAAAACTTTTCCTGTGGTCCTCCTGCTACTCCTAGAAGCCTCTCCAAACAGAATGTTGTTATTTTAACAGCTGCTGCACTCTACTTTATTTCTGTTTTGATTATTTTTTTAAAGTATGAAACTACAGGCAGATCCAGGCACTCCAGGATAAAAACAATCCACAAAAATAACACACAATCCCAAAACAGTCTGATATGAAATATATATATATAGAGAGAGAGATATTTGCTAAATGCCCATAGACCGATACAATAATCAAAGCGACTAGCTTAAAGCCATACTATCATTTAGAGTCAGGAGCTGTGGTGGCTCAAGTGGTTAAGACGCTGAACTGCAGGCTGTGGAAGGTCAGTAGTTCAGCAGTTCGAGACCCGAGTTGCCGCATGACAGAGTGAGCTCCCATCTCTAGTTCCAGCTCCTGCCAACCTAGCAGTTCGAAAGCAAGACATTGCAAGTAGATAAATAGGTACCACTTCGGTGGGAAGGTAACAGCATTCTGTGCACCTTGGTGTTTAGTCATGACGGCCACATGACCACGGAAATGTCTTCGGACAGCGGTGGCTCTTCGGCTTGGAAACGGAGATGAGCACTGCAACCCTAGAGTCGGACTCGAATGGCTTTCGAGCCAGGGAACCTTTACCTTTACTTTAATATAAAGAGCAACCAGTTATTCCTTCACAGAAAAAATACAAAGGCCAATAACATTTCACATAGCGGTCTGCTCCAGAGTCTCAAAATCTATATCCCTTATATATAGACTTTGAGAGTCTATATATAGACTTTATATATAGACTTTGAGAGTCTATATATAGACTTTGAGAGTCTGGAGCAGACTGCTATGTGAAATGTTATTGGCCTTTGTATTTTTTCTGTGAAGGAATAACTGGTTGCTCTTTATATTACCTGACACTAAATGATATTATGGCTTTAAGCTAGTCTCTTTGATTATTGTATTGGTCTATGGGCATTTAGCACACATCTGTATATATATTTTTTCATATCAGACTGCACTCCAGGATAAAACCCATTGAGAAGAACTCTTCAACGAGTCGTTCATAGTCACAGAAACCTTACCTAACATTGTTAAGGGCTAAAACAATTCATTAAAAATGTCATTTCTCCCCCACAATAACCTTTAAGTCCTTTATTTCTGTAATTAGCATATGTATCAGACTTGTTGATGGTTAAAGTATCATTTTGGTGTTCTAAGTAAAGTTAATACTTTAAAAATACTTCACTATTAACTGACAGACGTAGGGGACCCTCGAAGACTTGCAGGTAAGGGCAAGCCCCATTCTCCTCACTGGCACCCTCTTTGTCCCACCTGGCTCTGCCCGCCCTGGTGCTGAGCTCTTCCATACCCCCCCCTTCCCTTCTGCCACACTCTTTCTTCCCCTTGCCTGGCTTATCCATACCTCCCTGGTTTTTTGCATAATCTTTTCTGGGGAGACATCTGTGAATGCACAGATGTCACAAGTTGCCTTGAGCAAGGTTAACACCCTGTGGGTTTGATCCAGACTAAAATTTCCACAAGTACAAGAACTTCCCTCCATGGAGTGCGATTTTCCTGCCTCCCCACTCCCATGGCAGCCTAAAGGGTTCCCTGAAATCCTGTTCCCAGGAGTGAGGGAACTCGAACAGGATTTCAGGCTACCACCTCTGTTTGTCTCTTGCCTCGAAAACACTGTAAGGTCGACATGAGTCAACTAAGGCTTGACAGCACTTTGCACATGCACATACTCCCTTCTATGTCTGAAGTGGGCTCAGGGGCCCGAGCACAAAGCGTAGATCCCAGCCTCAGGTCCTGAGATTCCTGGTTCAAACCCCAGAACCCTCGACACCGCTCATGTCAGTAAAATGGTTTATGGGGGTGTCATACTACAAGAGGAGATACAGATCGTGCCTGATGCCTGTCAGCGTTTGAATGCTGAGTGGACAGCTGCCTATCTTATTTTCAGGAGACAATTCTTCTGACGCACTTAAGTTAGGGCCCTTAGCTCAGCACTAAGGATGGAGAAGGACCATTCATTTACTCTGAATTTTCATTCCCTTTCAATCTTTGAAGTACTGCTGGTTACTTTGGTACAAAAACTGTTGGAAGATGTACATCTCCTGCATATCGTCCTCATACTCACCAGTGGTCTTGCTTGTAAACCATTTGGTTAGGTGCCGGATATGCGGGAAGAATATAATGAGCCCCAGGAACACGTAAGACTGCAAGGAAATATAAGCACATCAATGCACAGTAATCTTCCAAGACACTGAAAGGCTGGACAACACATCCAGTTACCATGTCAGATTACACAGGGAAGCCATTGAAATTCATAAACACAATTTCAACAGGAAAGAAGAGAGTTTAAAAATAAATAGGGCATGGTTTCCTGTCCTGAAAAACACAAAAGGCTCTACATCTGACAACAGCACTACAGATAAGATTAGAATTTCAACAGCCAATCCACATGCAAAAGAACCTCCTCAGGAAACAATCAATACGCAAAAGAACCTCCTCAGGAAACAGCCAATCCATACACAAAAGAACCTCCTCAGGAAAGTTCCTCCATTAGCTTGTTTCACAGACTGGGGAACTCCTACATGATAATGACTCAGCCCTACCCCACCTTCCTGAGTAGATATAAATTACCTGTCTACCATTTTTCCTCTCACCTTGACACAGAGAGTACTCCGCCTTTCTGTGTTATACCCCTGGTGATGCCGGTCACAGCTACTGGCAAAACATCAGGTCCTACGATGCCAAGACCACAGCCAGACAACCCGGAAAACCTACAACAGCTAATCTTTTAAGAGTTTTGTGAAATTCTGCTCAGAGTATGTAACAGGATTAATATTTTGTCCTATTAATGATATTCCCTGGGTAGCATGAAAACAAAGTCAGCAAACTGGGCACAACAAAAGTGGCTGTCAGAGGAAGGACCGTGTTCCAGTGATGAAAGTTTCCAGTTGGTTGTCCCTGGAGTGCTGTTCCTGTGGCATGCTCCCCAGAAGCAACATGGCTCCCAAGAGGAACGTAAGGGGGAAGCTGGAAGTCTGCTGCAGGAAGGAGGAACTGTCCCTTCCCTTGCACATGTGTATCTTTTTCTCTTTTTTTTTAAGTACCCGAAGGTACACTTTTATTGTTTTCTTATATTTCTAAACACAGACATAAACAACTACAACAAACAACATATAAACCAAGAGACTTATTACGGTTTGTTACTACACCTAATCCATCGCTTCATTATTCTCTAATATTTGTTAGTATTCTCTAACGCCATTATTATATATTACTACATCCTCAAATCTGCCATATCAGCTTAATCTTTAACTCCATTCACATTATACCAATCATATAGTCTCTAAACAGGAATATATTAATAAACTTTTAGAAGCGGCGGAAATAGATAAACTAACCATGGAAATGAGAGGTACGAAGGAATGGACATTTCAGAACACATGTGGATCTTTTTGATGGGATCCACCCCACGGAGTGTCAGCTGTATTAGTGTGCACCCTTTAGTTGCACACAGTTTTGGAATCCAAATTTAACTTACCATTGGGATGAAGAAGAATGAAAAGATGGCAGCGACAAAGCTAAGTGTTGGTCCTCGTACTATAATCTTCAAGATATGATACTTATAAAATGCTTGGTTTTCAGACACCTGGATTTGGTGATTAAGTAGATATGGGTGCTGGAACCCATACATGACAATGACTGCCTGCAGAGCGAAAACAACATTGTATCAGTACAATACATTACAGGTTATCCCGATGAAACGGTACAAACCCCCTGCACCATCCAGGAGGCAATTATAAAATGTAGATAAGCTGGAGCCCACTGCATCAGCCATGGAGAAACAGACCTGTGAAGCACTGAACTATATGTGCCAACACTCAACAATTTCCACTACAATTTTTCCATGTGAGTGCAGGGATCAATAAGCTGCATCTGCGTCTGTCCAGACAGCAGATTTGAGACTCTCAGACACGAGTAAGAGATATCAGATTTGAAACTCTCAGACATTACGAAGAGATATCAGATATGAGACTCTCAGACGTGACTAAAAGATCAGGACTGTGTATTCCCTCCCCCCCTAGTTGTAATAGAACTGCAGGTACAGTGGTTAATTAGATCCGCCAACTGGGGCGGGGGTAATCTATCACTTTAGGGTCCTTAATGTTTTACCTTGTGTGCTATTGTTTCAACTGACCTGGAAGGGAACCTGGCGGAAAACGGATGGAAAGAAAGCCCAGGAAACTGGAGTCTATTTACTAACAATCATTGGTTAATGTATTCAGGTGATTTCCTTCTAGGGGTCAAGAAGAAAGAAGAATCTCCATTACCAACTGTGTGGTCAGCTCTGTCTGTTGTTGTACTTGTAACAGTAAGCATGTAGTCTTAAGTGATTGTTGTTTTGTAGATTTCCCGTGTACCCTTCCCTTTAGAAATAAAGATTTTTACATAGAAAGAAAATGCCTCCTCTCCAGTGAACAGAGATCCATTGCAAACTCTGAATATCTAACTACAAAAATTTTCCACCACGTATCACCCCAGAAGGTAATGGCTGTGTGCCAGCTGGCAGAAACAGATTCCAAAATGTAACTGGTATGTATTGAACAACAGCACGTTATGAAGCCTAACAGACTACAAGCTATACATGCATAAACAAACTTCATTTATACCCCACTTTTCTCACCAACGAGAGAAACGGGACCCAGGTTCGAATCCCCACACTGCCATGTCAAGCTCTCTGGGGAGCTTTGAGCGAGTCACACAATCTCAGTCTAACCTACCTCACAGGGTTGCTGTGAGGATAAAATGAAGGAAAGGAGAATGATGCGTGGCATTTTGGTTTCCCCCACAGGGAAGAATGGTGGTGTGTAAATGGAGTAAATACATTCTAAAGTGAAAGGCAACTCTACCTGGACAAAGCCGATTATAACAGCACAGCTACTAAACATGAAAATGCCAAACGGAACATCTGGAAAGGAGGCCATTAAGGAGAACTGCAAGGGAAAAGATGAGACCAGTTACATTCTTCAGAAGCCATTAATTTGCACTCCGCTTTTTTAAACAAAAGTTATACTTCGTACTTCACCCACCCCTTTGTTTTCAGCTGTACCAAGAAATAATCTTCTAAACTTTGCCAGTAAAGTCTGAAACAGACCATGGAATGCTCTGAAAACTGAAGTATATTATATTAACTTGAAGAGAAAAGGATTTTTTTTAAAAAAATGCTGAATTTCCTATGATCCTTTAATAAGCAAAGCAAATGCCTGTGTACAGCATTCTGCAAGAGACCAAAGGGATTAGTAGTCTGATTTATGAAACAGCCTTTTATGCTGAAAAGCTATTACAAGTCATTAGTACAACACCATTTGAAAATTTACAGAAATATTCTTATATTGTTTGGCAGAGCGGAATTTCAATTAACCAAAAAGTTTTAAAAAGTCAGAATGTGAGGGTCCAATAGTTCTATATATAAAAACATAAATATTACCAAATATACATGTATTTATTACAAATTAGATTAAAACAGATGCAGGCCCAAATAGTAGCCTCTAATTAGAATAAAATCATACAATTATCTCAAACACAGACCATTTGTGACCCTGAACAAACACATTTTGCCCAATTGGCCTTCTTCAGTGGCCAAACAATGTCGTTACACAATGGCTCTAGACATTACAATAATAATACAGTTATTTCTTAAAATTGGACCAAGTTGAAATTGTTTTATAATCAATATCTGTGAGAGATATAATTTAAAGGCTTCATTTTAAATAACCCGCTGCCCTGGTCAGGTACACATGTCTTGAATGGTAATTCAGTTCTGTACCTTATGGTCCCCAAAATTTTTTTAGATGCAGTCTGGAGCCAATTGTATGTAATGAGCCAATAGTATGTAACAATATATGAGCACAATTTCAAGCCTGAACAAGAAGGGGCGGCTGTCTCTGTAAATCAAACACAAGCTGCTAAAAATAAATATTTAATTAAAGTTAAAAGTTTTAATCAGGTTGCAACAGCTACAATCCTTCACCTGCCCCCCCCTATAAAAGGATTTTGATAATGACAGTCCCAGCCCTGACTTGGATAGCCCAGGCAAGTCCAATCTTGTCAGATCTTGGAAGCTAAGCAGGGCTGACCCTGACAAGTACTTGGAAGGAATACCAGGGCCAGGACACAGAGGTAGGCAATCAAACACCTCTCTGAAAATGTCCTAGCCCCACTAGGGTTTGCCAGAAGTCATCATGACTTCCAGGCTTGCAAGCTCGCTCGCACGCACGTACACACACACACACACACACACACACACACTCACACACACACACGGGTTGCCAGGTCCTTCCCTTGTGCCAGCAGGGGGTGGGAGGCAGCTTTCCAGGAGAGAGGGGCAGGGTGATGTCGTCATGCACGACATCCCCAATGTGATTACGTCACATGGAAAGTATGTCATCACCCTGGGGACATTGCACAACGACACTCTGGTTTTTTCGCAACCTCTATGGTAAAACTGGACTCAAACCATAGAGTCAGGGGTGTTGCGCAGGGTCGTAGCTGTTGGGGGTAGGGCTTCCCCTGCCAGCCAGGGGGATCTCCTGCTCCCACCTGGGGACTGGCAACCCTAACACATGTATGCGTGCGCGCGCGTGCACACGCGCACACACACACACACACACAAATACAAAAAAGATATAATGACAGTCCCTGACTTAGGACCCAATCCACAACCGCTTTGAATTATGCTGCCATGCTGAACCTTTGGTTTTTCCCATACAAAGACAGGAATGTGAGGTTTCCCTATTGCTGCTGCAACTGCTAATAAAGTACAGTGGCAGTGGGGCTTCCGCATATCAGGGCTCCCCACAGTTTCCCTGCCTCAATTTCCCCTCCCCACACCAGCAGCACTTTTACAGAAAAAGACCCCCAACAACAACACAGGAAGTAAATATCATTATACTGAAAGAAAACATTCTAACAATATGTGTAACATGCTGTCTGAATTCCCAGCTTTCATTTTTCAAAAGCTCCTTTTGTTGGGGATATATGTCTTTCCCCTTATATCTCCACAACAAAATGGGCTAGAGAATTTTTTTAATGAAAGCTGGGGATTCAAAGGACCTGTTATATATATTGTTATAACACTGTATCAATACAGTGCTATTCAGTTATCAATTTTAAACAAGCCCAACGATCTCCCAATAGCGGAAGCAGGGGGGATGGCAACTGTAGAAAAATGCCTGCCATGTGGGCAGAACTGGGAGAAATTGTGCATTCCTACCCGCACGGCAGCCAGCAGGCTTTGCTGTAATCAGACAGTCTTTAGTGGCCCACTCCTCTTGGCAATATTTGACTGAGAGGAACAGTTTCAACAGACCCCGGCTAGAACACAGAAGCCAACAGAATCCTGGATGCTCCCTCGGGTTCCTGGGACTGGTCTGACTGACTGCAGACCATTCTGGCTTGGAACAGTAAAAGCTTTGGAGGTTGCTCTAACGCTCTCCACGTTTTCTAGCTCCCACGTATGCTACACCGAAGCGCGACTGCCTGCACCAGGAGAGGTGCACTAGCACAGCATATTGGCGTGGGATGGGACAATTAATTAGAAATCATGAGCCAAGTCTCTGTGGCATAATTTTTTCCATGCAAAGCATAAAAGTGAAAACATCACTATGTATTAGAGTAAGTTTAGCGTTACAGAACAAAGAAATCATGAACATTTCAAGGAGACAATAACTTCATCCTAGCAACTGTAGCCTTTACATGGATCGTATTCAGTTTGTGAAGTCGGAGAGATATGGGGCAGTGTTAGCTGCTGATATAGATATGTCATGAATTTTGGGGGGGCAATTACAGTTAGATCATTGTATGCATGTTCATCTGGGTTTATATCCTTTATGTCTGTACTTGTTTCAAACCAGTTGGCTGTTTCTGCCCTTATAACCTGTTTGTATTATGATCCATCACGACTTTTCCTTCTACCCTTTTCATAATTCTGTCTTTACAATGTTCTGCAGTATCCCTTCCCCACTAGGTACAAATAATGAAACCAAGAAGTAACACCAAAGATAAAAAAAGCAGGATCCTTGCTTACCGTGTACGGCAAAAAAGTAATCAGCATCATGCAGGCCTAGGAGAAGGAAAAAGGGATTCAGTGTATGGAAGAGGTCACTCTGCAGGCATATTACTATAAACTATGTCAGTGGTGGTGAACCTGTGGCACGGGTGCCAGAGGTGGCACTCAGAGCCCTCTCTGTGGGCACGTGTGCCATTGCCCCAGGCAGGCCCAGACCATCATTAAAGTGTCAAATTCTCTGCCAAATAATTTTAAGTAAATGAAAGCATTTGGGATTGCTTTCCTTACTTTGTTTGGATCATCTTAAGTTAATGTATGAGTTGTTTTTTCTAAAGTAAAAAACCTCAGTATTCAGGTTAAATTGCCATGTTGGTACTTTGCTGGGTTTTGGGTCGCAGTTTGGGCACTGAGTCTCTAAAAGGTTTGCCATCACTGATCTATGTACTTCATTTATACCTTACTTTTCTCCCCAGTGGCATACATTACTCTCCACTCCTCCGTTTCATACTCATAGAAACCCTGTGAGGTAGGCCCACAGTCACCCCAGCAAGGTTCCGTGGTAGAACTGGGATTCAGACCTGGCGAGACCACAGGTTGACCAAACTCTCTGAGCCTGTGGCCATCTTTGGAATTTTGAGAAGGGGTGCTGAACACAACTCCAAAACAGCGGACATAGGAGGGAAAGTGAAATGCAACACCTCCCTCCTTGCTTTGCAGCTGTGGAAAACCCTTTCATTTTAATGGGGGCAGGCAGCCATGCTTTACAAGAAACCAAACACTTTCGGAAAAGCTTGACTGGCACTATGACTGGCAAGGGAAGTACTGGCAGGCGCCATGTGGCCCATGGCACTACATTGGGAAACCTGTCATAGCTCAACAGTCTAACAAGTCTACCACACCGGCTCTCAGGTAAGAACTTCTTCACGTTAGTGTCTCTGTGAAGCCCTAGGAGCCAGGACTTGCTGAAGAAGCCTGAACTGCTGTTGCTCCCCACATTAGGGTTCCCAAGTGAAACTTACCTTGGAGGCGGGGGACTCCCGGGTGGATCCCGGAGCGCGCGCGCCGCACATACATCACCAGGAAGTGACGTTATGACCTCGGGCACGCTGGGGGCGGGGCCATGACCATACAAGGGAAAACCATAGAGTTTTCCCTTGCATGGCCGTGGCCCCGCCCCAGCGTGCGCGGGTCACTTCCGGGTGACGCGCACGTCGGGGAGGAGTTCCCCCGGGGTCCAATTCGGTGGCGCCGGGGAACGGGCCTTTGGGGCGGGAGTTTCCCCGCCCCCCATGGGGACTTGGGATCCCTACCCCACATTAATATTGCTACAATTTTGGGGAGAAACGATACTGGCATATGAAAATGCCCAATTGTATTCTGGGCCTTCAAACTTTGCCTTTGTGGTGCTACAGCTGGTCCCACGTTGTGTGGCAATGTAAGAAGGAATCGCAAAGAAACTATACTGTTGCAGATGATGAAGACTCTCTTGGCCTCAGACCCTTCCCAAACTCAAGCAGAACGGTCCTGAATCACAGTGGCAGTCCAAAGAAAAGCTACCGCAGACGTTCACAATCCTATGCAGGAGGACTCAGTCTTAAATGCTGTTTCTGTCAACTGGTCTTCCAGTTACTCATGCATAGGATTGCATCCTCAGACCATTTTCCCATTACTTGCATTAGACCACCACAGCTGCAGTATAATCCAGCGGAAAGCGTGCTTATGCGAGCCTCACTAAAATGAATGCCAGTTTTGCAAGAGTAGTGTTCTTGTGCAATGCCTTTCCATTTCATTATGGTGAAAAGGAGAACTATCTGCGAGATTGTGTTTGGGTGTGTGCTGTGTGCTGGATCAGTTTCAGTTTTCAGTTTCTTAATTTGTATTCATTCGTTTCATTTGCATTTTAAGATGAATAAATGACAAAAACTGAACATGCTCCCCCCCAAATTATGTATAATTATATATATGTATTTGTGTGTGTTTGTCTGTTTGTTGAGGTGTATGGAAAATTAATAAATAGATTTTTTTAAAAAACCTGAACATGCTCCCCACCCAACTGCAAAAGTTTGGTGACTGAGACCACAACAGAAGAGCAGCAGCGCAACAGAAATCTATCTACAGTAAGATTAAAAAAAAAAAAATTACATGTTTAAAAATTACATTTCAATGTTTTGTGCATTATAGTTGAAAAACACAGGCAGAGCATCCAAAGTTATTTAATCTTAGCAATAGGATTCATTGTAATATTTGAACCTGGCAACTTTTCATCATATTTAGTTAAACCACTAGTTTAATGTTATTTAATGGTTTGGGTCCAGGATACCTAAAGGACCGTCTCCTCTTACACTATCCAGTGTGCCAGTTAAGATCTGCTTACCAAGACTTCAGAGGCAAGGCAGGTACTGACTAGCGACAGGACTTCGTCTGTGGTGGCACCTTGCCTTTGGAACACTCTTCCTTGAGGCTTGCCTGTTGCCTACTTTACTGTCTTTTAGGCACCAGGCCAAAAACTTCTCTTTTTACCCAGGCTTTTAATTAGGGGCTTTATCTTTCCAGGGTGTTTTTTTTTAAATGTTCGCTTCTGGCCTGAGGCTCATTTTATGGATAGTTTTATGCTGTTTATGTCCCTGGGCTTGTTTTAGTGCTGTTTTTCTACTGATACTTTATTCTTTCGATTGTAAGCTGCCTCAAGTGGACTCTGAAGTTGTGACACAGAAATCTCCTATAAAAATAAATACAGGCCCCGGTCACACGGGCCGGATATCGCGGGGGGGAGGCGTGGCTGTTTGCCCCGCAGCGAAATAACGCGCGACTGCGCGATCAGGCGTCCCCTCGCGGTTCCAGCAAGGTCCTGTGGTTAGGGGGGAGGTGCCGATCACACGCCGCGCCAAAGAAGCGGTGCGGCGCGGCAAACGGGGTTGTGTTTTGGGTTTTTTTTACCTGAAGTATGCGCATGCCCCGTTGGGTGCATGTGCGCATCCCTGGAGAACTTGAAGAAAAAAACCCTTTTCGCAATGGGGCATGGGCGGGCGCCGGATGCCACTGGAAACGCGATCAGACGCCTGCCCTTGCTCCATGGTTTCCGGAAACTAGTACCTCCGAGGTACTAGTTTTTTGCCGCACATCTTCCGTGGGAAGCCTCGGTTGAGCCACGGGAGCTCTACGCTTCCCAGATGTGGTGGTGAGATCGTGCCCGGAAAATCCGCCTATCTTCCGTCTCTCTAGCGTGGCTAATGCTCCATGTGACCAGGGCCACAATTGATTTTAACAACTGTCATGTGTTAAAACTCACCAAATTTAGAAGCGCAAGAACATCGTCAATGAGTTCAATCACTTGGAAAAGTCTGCAGAGAGAAAAAGAGAAAGCCATTGATGATCCTCTGGGATGAGAGAAACACAGAAACATTGACTGACAGACACACCTTCCTAAAGTGCAGGCTTTAAGACCCATAACATTCAAATGACTACACAGAATCTCAGTTTCAATCCAGTTCTGCTCTCAACACATTCTCCTGCTCTCAACACGTTCATTCGTCTTTCTGCACAGTGCCACAGGAGTGCAACGGATAAGCAAATGACCACTGAAATTCAGAACCTCCCTTTTCCAAAATGCCACTGCCGAGAGCCATGGGCTGCTGTCCCCATCACATGCCCACAAATCCACTTGCTGGCATTCCAAAGATCCCAGCAAATATCCCCTCTGGCAAGTTGTCACTTGACCCACAGCTGGGACAAAGGAGGTAAGACCAAGAGATGGCAGTGAAGGCCAGAAGTGGCCCGACCTGCTTGGCTGAAGGCAGCAGCTGCTCCAAGACAGCCTGGGGCACTGCCCAGGGTGGCAGTGGCCGTATGACAGCACCAGCAGTAGTGGTGGTACACCACCTCTAGGAGACCATACCCCGTGCAACTCAGACACTGAGCACACTGGCAGGGGCAGACATTTATCCAGCCTGAGGGTCTGGTTAGCAGAAAGGGACTCGGCAAAGCAGGGGTTCAGAAAGGAGCAGTACTTAAAGCACAGAGGGTTGGAGCACAGTGTGGCTAGAGCCTGGGGATTTAAAGAAAGGCGTCAAAGGAGGAACGGTGAGAGAGAGAGGATGGCAAGCTGGTGGGGAGGGAGAGGCTGAGGAAACAGAGGAAGGGGAACCAAGAGGCGCTGTGGCCCTGGGCATGATACGAGGGCTGGACTCCGTATGCCAGGCGACGCTGCAATCTTACAAAGCTCTGTGCACGCAAGGGGGAAACAAGAGAATCACGCGCACAGCTGGAGGTGCCTTTGAAGATGCCAGTTCAGCCACTCCCATGGCTGAATAGGCAAGCCACAGTTCCCTTTAAAATCAGCTTCTCTGTTCAGCTGTGCGTGCTGCTGCAGGGAACTTTAGCCATGCTTTGTAACCGTGGCAATGACTGGCGACGCACTCCCCATTACGGTGTCAGCTCAATGAACAATTTCCCAGTCCATCTGCCAAGACAGGCTGGCCTAGCCACAGTGCAGCTCTGCTGCAGCTTTTGACAACTGACACTCCATTCAGGCTTGGCCGTAAGCTGGTAAAAAATCTTCACAGGTTACTAATTAAGGGGAAACAGACTGGCAGCAGACGGGGCGGTGATGAGAGCACGGGACTCTGATTCAAATCCCTTCTCTGCCATGAAACTCAGTGTGTGAACCAATCATTCTCTCTCAGCCTACTGTACCTCACAGGGTTGGTAGGAGGATAAAAAGGAGGATGGAGAGCCATGTATGCTATCCCGAGTTCCTTGGAGGGAAGGCAGGAGAAAAATGTGCAAGAGGGATAGATTTAGGACAAATAGAAGGAAGTACTTCTCCACGCAGTGGTAATCATCTTGCGGAATTCACTGCCACAAAATGACATTACGGCTGCTGGCTCGGAGAGCTTTGAAAAGGAGATTAGACACAGAGGATAGGTCTATCCACTACTTTTAGCTAGGATGTCTAAATAGTACCTTCAGGTCAAGAGGCAATAGAGCATCGAAGAAGGTGTTCTTTGGTCATAAACAATAATGCTGCTTTGAGGCACTGCCTGCGGACTCTGCCCCCCCACCCCGACATCTTGCTGGCTTTTGTGGGAAACAGAATCCTGAACGACAAGGCACTTTGGTCTAATCCTGCAAACCAGCTTAAATTCTCATGAACATTTGCACTTGACTTGGAAACCATTTTAGACAATGGGCGGTGTAGAAAAAAATGTCGGTTGGTTGACAGGAAGGAAGGAAGCCGGAAAAGGTGAGGATATGGGAACTGCTAGGAGGAGGGAAAGTGGAAAGTGTGGGGAAGGGGGTACGGTGAAAAATGAGCTGCAACTGAACCATAATTCTCCCAGGCAGAGGCTGCCAGGGGATGGGAAGGAGGGGAAACTGAAAAAAAACAGGCAGGTAAAGGAAGGTCAGCTGGTGGGTGGGAAAGAGAGAAGGAAGGAGGAGAAGGTGAAAATTTGGGTATTACTAGGAAATGAAATGTTCCCCGGAAGTCCTTGTGGGTCCCTTGCTTGTGCATTTCTAATTGCATACCTGACATGAGCTGCCCAAGCCACTGTTACTATCAAAAATGTCATCAGATAAACAGCAATTTTGGTGGCTAGCAGCTGCTGAACACTTTCATTGAGTTCCTGAAACGAAGAACAGCAGTTGTCAAATAAACGCACATCATTTATCACAACTGAAACATCACATTGTACAACTGCTTTTGAGCCCAAAGCAAACATGTGCTGCAAAACCACTTGCATAAATGGGAAAGTTTCCTTACTGTAAATATATCCTCCATCAATAAAGTTGTCCCTCAGCTTCCTCCAAGCATATAAACTAGGCTAGTCCACAAAAGCTATGCAACAGTAAACCTGGTAGTCTTTAAAACGCCATGGGTCTCCTCTGTGTTTTAGCCTTCTTTTTGAACCACATCTTCAGGGCTGTAGGTAAAACCCTGGAACGACCTCAGCAAAATGTTTAATTCTTAGCTGAATCCCGCCTCTCTGCTGTGCGTCACAGAATGTACAAACTGTAACATCTTCTGGGGAACTTTCCAATATACATATATTCCATTTCCAGAACATGAAAAGCCATCTTTAGGCCTTTGAAGCCACAGATCTGATGAAGCCCAGTTTTCTCTGTTAACAAATTGCTCCAGGGACCTTATGTAACAGACTGGAATTCATTCTGCAGTGTGTGTGGGGGCAGTGAACATATGATGCTACCTGTTATTTCCAGCTGGATCTTTTGTACTGAACATAACAGTGATGAACAGTGGCTTCAGAAGAGGGGGGAATACACTGTGATGCCAAACAGCTTAACCAAGGAGGGCCAGTCAGCAGGCTATATAACCTGCTGGCTTCCTCTCCCAAATACAGGATGAAAGTGTGTCCTGAGACCACTTCCCAAGAGAAGAAGAGGGGTAGAAGAAGGGGGGAATATAAGGCCAGGGAACTGATGTGTTTTGTGTATTGTCAGTTAGTCATCCTAACTGATCCTAAACTTGAACTAAGCAGCCTGATAGCTCAGCCTAGTCTCATCTCATCAGAGCTTGGAAACTAAGCAGGGTTACTTAAGAACATAAGAGACGCCAATGTTGGAGCAGGCCAAAGGCCCATCCAGTCTAACACTCTGTGTCACACAGTGGCCAAAAATACCAGTGCCATCAGGAGGGCCACCAGTGGGGCCAGGACATTAGAAGCCCTCCCACTGTTAACCCCCCCAAGCACCAAGAAGACAGAGCATCACTTGCCCCAGAGCCCCTATCTATACCTTGCGGCTAATAGCCACTGATGGACCTCTTCTCCATATGCTTATCTAATTCCTTTTTGAAGCCGTCCATGCTTGTAGCCGCCACCACTTCCTGTGGCAGTGAATTCCATGTGTTAATCACTCTTTGGGTGAAGAAGTACTTCCTTTTATCCGTTCTAACCCGACCGCTCAGCAATTTCATTAAGTGCCCACGAGTTCTTGTATTGTGAGAAAGGGAGAAAAGTACCTCTTTCTCTACCTGCTCTTTCCCATTCATAATCTTATAAACCTCGATCATGTCACCCCTCAGTCGTCGTTTCTCCAAGTTAAAGAGCTCTAAGCACTTTAACCTTTCCTCATAGGGAAAGGGTTGGCCATGGTTAACACTTGGATAAGAGACCACAAACGAAGACCTGGGTTGCTGTGCAGAGGAAGGCAATGGCGAACCACCTCTGCTCATCTCTCACCTTGCAAGACCCATGGTCCCAGGGCTATCATGAGTCAGTTGCAACTTGATGGCAAAAACCTGGACTTGCCACTGTTAGTGCTACTATGTGCCCCACACCCCAAGTACTGGAAGAACATATTGCAGTTTCAAAGTGCAGGTAATTAAACTGAGTACATAAACAACACGAAAAACAACATACCTGATCAGGATGTATTTTTGTATGAGCCACTGGCAAAATCTGCAACAGAAGAGTCATACAACTGAAATGATACACACAGTTTCTTTTGCATAGGAGAGTTATGTTACAGTGGATTCTTCTGATCCATCTGTTAATTATAAGTGTATTAACTTAAAACAAACAATGAAGATGAACCACAGCTGTGGGGAGAAGAAAAAGAGGGTTTTGAGGCAAGTGAAAGACATCGGAAAGGTTTTTAAGGAGGCATACACAAATGCTTTAGCCACCCTGCCCTAACTTATAACCAGCTGATGGGTGGCAGCAAATTGTTTTCAAAACTTTCAGTGCCTTCTTTAGTATTAATAATCGGCCCTGTGGATAGAACCAGCATGCCATTTTGTGAATGAAGTGCTAGACTTGGAACCAACAAGGCCTCAGGTTCGAGTACCCATTCCATTCACCTTAATGCTCACTGGACGACCTTAGGTCAGTTATGATCTTTCTTGCAGCCTAATCTACTTGACAGGACTGCTGTACAGATGCAATTTGATAACCCCCAAGCATGTCGCACTGCAAAGACAAGATACATAAAGGAATGAAAAGCACCACACCTATGACCCAAGGAGAGGTTACAATCAAAGCTCTGTCAAAGGTTACATATACTGCAATACTGAAAGGAGTAAAAGGAAATTACATTCATGGATGAAGCAGGAATCCTACTTTGCTTTTGGTAGTGTAAATGCAGCACCAAGATTAGCGACTATAGAGGTGAAAAGAACAATGCCATCATGTGCAGCGACAAGCTGTGGCTGGTACCAAGTCTGGGGAACTGCTGACTTAATGTTCTTATCCTGCCACATAATGTTTAATTTCTCCAGAAGGGAGGGTCTGGGGCCATATCTTCCAGCCTAAAAGCCTTCAAGTTCAATGGCGGCACCACAGCTAGGATAAGACTGCTGATGTAGTCTGTTGCATTAAAAAATAAACAGAAACCCAACAGCACCTAAAAAGATGATCAACATTTTATTCTAGTTTATGCTTTCAGGGTCCAGAGCCCTACATCTGAAGAAGCAAATCCTAGCACATGAAAGCTTTGCTGGAATAAAAGGTTGCCAGTCTCTAAAGTGCCACCAAACTACTGTTTGTTCCTGTTCTGCAAATTTCAATGCAATCTGAAGAAAGGGACTTCACTTTATTTAAACTTGAAGTGGAATAAAATGTGACTCGCCTTTAAGGCACTGCTGGTCTCCTGTTTTACTGCAGCTATGGGTACTCACCGGCAAAGAAAAGGCACTCTGTACATGCCCAGAAACTAGGGTTGCCACTTGCCAGGTCTGCCCCCCAGCCCCTGGTAGGGGATGGGGGGTAGGGTTGCCAGATCTAGGTTGGGAAATTCCTGGAGATTTGGGGATTGAGTCCACCCTCCAAAGCATCCATTTTCTCCAGGGCAACCAATCTCTGTAGTCTGCTGATCAGCTGTAGTTCCAGGGGATCCCCAGGTCCCACCTGGAGGCTGGCATCCCTATCAGAAATAGAGTTAACAGCTCTGAGTTGGGAAATACCTGGAGAATTTGGTGGTGGAGCCTAGGCACGGTGGGGCTCGGGGAGGAGAGAGACCTCAGCAGGGTGCAATGCCCTAGAGTCCAGTCCACCCTTCAAACAAAGCAGCCATTTTCTCCAGGGTCACTGCTTTCTGTCATCTGGATATCACTTGTAAAAGCAAGAGCTCTCCAGCCCCCACCTGGAAGCTGGCAACCCTAAGAAAGGCTTTCTTGCTGCCGCATACGTTTCTGCCCTTTCTCTTAAGGGCTCTAGTCAACCCTTGCTTGGCAAGCAGGGTTATGAAAGGGGGCAGAAGGCCGGCAGGTGCGTGACGGAAAAAGCCCAGCAGTTTTAATTCCCCTGCGCTGGGGGGGGGGCGGGGACCCCCTAACTTCGCTACACGCAAAACGTCACGCTCCCCTCCCCCCCCACCCGGGCTCGGAGTGCTGACAAACCAGTTGAATGCCTGCCTGTTCTGCCGCTGCGGTAGGGACCGAGTGCCGCCCCTCCGGCGGCCCACCACCACTCACCATGACGGTGGCGATGATGGAAAGCAGCGCGTCGCTATAGGCCAGGAGCCGCTGCGCGCCCTGAGTGCTGCCGCCCAGCTCGCCAAGGGCCCTGCCCCGGCTGAGGAGCAGCGACGGTGGCGGTGGCGGCGGCGACGGGCCGGCCACGGCCTCGCCGGCTTCGGCCATCTTCTGACAGGCATGAGCAGAAAGACGACGCGCCGCCAAGAGGAGGAGGAGGAGGAGGAGGAGTGGCTGCGGGATCCCCGCTGAACGAGCTCCGCCTTCGCCCGAGCAAGCCCGCTTCTCGTTCGGCTTCAGTCTTGCGGAGGGGAGCCTGGGCTGAGCCTTCTCGGACGGGGGAAAGAAACTTTAAGGACTGGGGGTGAGCAGAGAGAGAAAGAGGGGAGGGGAACCAGCCGCCCTCAAGAGAGAAGGAGCCGCGTAGTCCAGCAGTTCGAGACCCGGGTGCCGCATGACGGAGTGAGCTCCCGTCTCTAGTTCCAGCTCCTGCCAACCTAGCAGTTCGCAAGCAAGAAATTGCAAGTAGATAAATAGGGACCACTTTGGTGTGAAGGTAACAGCCTTGGTGTTTAGTCATGCCGGCCACATGACCACGGAAACGTCTTCGGACAGCGCTGGCTCTTCGGCTTGGAAACGGAGATGAGCACCGCCACCCTAGAGTCGGATTCGACTGGCTTTCGAGCAAGGGGAACCTTTACCTTTACCTACACCCTTTGGGAAGAAGAGACCAGGCAGAAATGGCACAAAACCGTGCGCAAGCTTCGCCAGGACTCTTCACCAGACTGGAAACTGCCAGGTCCCCCCTGGCCACCGATAGGGTTGTGAGATCCAGGTTGGGAAACTCCTGGAGATTTGGGGATGGAGCCCGGGGAGGACAGGGACCTCAGTGGGGTACAGTGTCCACCCCCCAAAGTTTCTATTTGCGCCAGTGGAGCTGATCTCTGTAGTCTGGAGATGAGCTGTCATTCCGGGGGATCCCCAGGTCCCACCTGGAGGCTGGCATCCCTATGAAAGGACAGGAGAAAAGAGCTGAAGCAGAGCTCGAGAGATGAAGGTGACCTTGGTCCAAAGCCAGTCCCCAGCACCACCACGAAACAAAAGCCACAATTTAATAGCCTGTATGGGGCCATGGTGGCTCAGAGGTTAAGATGCTGAGATGCAATCAGACTGGAAGGTCTCCACAGTTGGAGACCCTAGTGCCGTATGATGGTGTGAGCTCCCATCTTTGGCCCCAGCTCCTGCAAGAAATTGCAAGTAGATAAATAGATACCGCTTCGGTGGGAAGGTAACAGTGTTCCATGCACCTCGGCATTAAGTCATGCCAGCCGCACGACCACGGAAAATTCGTTGGGCAGCGCTGGCTCTTCGGCTTGGAAACGGAGATGAGCACCGCCCCTTAGTGTTGGATTCGACTGGCTTTCGAGCAAGGGAAACCATTACCTAAGGGAAACCTTTACTAATTAACACTTTAATAATTACAACTTTAGTTATTAAAATAATGATTGAGTACCAGAACTGTGCATGCTTTCAGTTTCCCTAGAGCTCCTGTTCAGGATGTTAAAAAGAACGGTGGAATAGAGCTTTTATTTGTTTTGTCTGTTTACAAAATTTACATCCCAGCTTTCTGCCCTTACGACATATCTGATAAAATACATTATTAAAACCATTAAAATATACACTTCTCCCAGACATACCTCATTAATACAACTCTAAAAATAGTTTAAAACAGAGTTAAAATACATATAAAATAGTTAAAATACATACAAAACATAAAACGTTGGTTAGGAAGGAGGAATCACTGAGAAACAAAAAAGTCTTCACAGAAGAGGGCAACAGAAGGGGACAGATGAGAGTTCCAGAGTTTGGTGCCATGACAGAGGTTGTCCTTACCAGTCAACTTTCCCACCCTGTGCTGCCGCCCGCCTGATCTCAAAAGGCCGGGGTACCTGAAGTAGAGCCTCTGAAGATGACCACAATGGCGGGGCAGGTTCATAAGGGATTAGGATCAGGTACATTGGTCCCAAATTATATAGGGCTTTGAAAGTCAAGGCCAGCACCTTGAATTGTACCCAGAAACAAATTGGAAGCCAGTGTAGGTGGGCCAAGCCTGGAGTGACATGGTCCCTACAACTGGCTACAGTCAGCATCCTGCCTGCTGCGTTCTGTACCAGTTTTATCTACTCAAGCCCACTTTGTCAGGTGCAATCTGAATCTTTCTATTTGCATTTCATGGCTCCGTGCTCTCAGCCCACCACGTTAGAATGCTGAATGTATCTGACGAAGTGGGGCAGCTTCTGTTGATTTCTCTGTATTTGCTCAGCTATTTGAAACTGGATCCATTTACAAACTTACTGTACTTTTTGGAACCCAGTTCTGAAGTGACTACTTTAGGGGACCCACTTGCAAAGTAACTCCATGCCGTCCCCCCCCACCAACCCAACCCCTAATAATCTCACTTCAGTTAACAGTGAACAAAAGCATTTTATTTGTTATGCGTACACCACATTACTAAGCAACAGGATATATTACACAGTGATTTTATGTATTATGCTGAGACAAACCTACATTTTCTATGAGCAGGCTTCCCATAGCCTACTCATCTTTTTCATCCACTCTATTCATCCTCCTCCCAATCTCCCCCCAATCTACTTCTGGGTCCTGATCCACAGTTTGAGAACCACTGATTTTCTGTAATTTGGACAGCTGTCCAGTGTTCCCTCTAAGCTGTGCATGTGAGCGGCCGCTCATTAACACAGGAAGCCCCGCTCAGCAGCAATCTGGAGCCACACAGGGTCTTGCACTGCCCATTGCCCATTTTAAGATTACAGCAGTTGTATTCTGCTCAGGACGTGAACTGCTCCACTCAGGGGGGAGGGAATTAAAGGGAACATTGCTGAGCTGTCAGAACTTATTCTGTTGAAAAGCATTGTGCTTAAGGAGACAAGAGAATTCTGTCTGTGATGCTGGATCTGCCATGGCCCAGTCACACATGCATCATTTGGAGTCATCAAATCCCTGCACTTTTATGCAAGAAGCTACCATTTGGAGCTCAAAAACATATCCTGACTGAAAGTTACTCTCCTTTCAACGATGCCCTATTAATGGCTGTGTAATGGTATTGGCTGTCTTTTTTGGTTGGATCTAGTGATGTGACAGCAGATGGCGCTGAATGAGACAGATCTTCCCCACGGTCCTCTCCCTCCCATAGTCCCTTTCTGGTAATGTTGATTCCAAAAGTCAATGTGGGAAAAAGTCAAAATTGGACTTCCTGCCTCTTTTGTCAGAGGTGCTATGCTAATGAAAGAGGAGGAGCAATTTTTACTCCTTCTCCCTCCTCACTGCAACCTACTGGCTTGTATGACTATTACCTCCATTAGTGCTTCACAGGTTGGAGAACAGGTAAAAATGGGGGAGTGGGTGAGACAACACTCTAGGATTCTAGGTTAGACCATAGAGTTTTGACTCTGAGCAAATCCCAGAGCCCCCCACATGTGATTGCATCACCTCTGGTTTGGTGCAACTTTTCCAGGGTTGGAAGAAAATGCTGGGGAAAGGAGGAAGAAGAAGATTGGATTTATACCCCACCCTTCACTCGGAGTCTCCAAGCGGCTTACAAACTCCTTTCCCTCCCCCTCCCCACAACAGACACCCTGTGAGGTAGGTGGGGCTGAGAGACCTCTCTTGAGAACTGCTCCTGAGAGAACAGCTCTGAGACAACTTGGGACTGACCCAAGGTCACACCAGCAACTGCATGTGTAGGATTGGGGAATCAAAGCTGGTTCTCACAGATTAGAGTCTGCGCTCCTAACCACGACACCAAACTGGCTCCCACAAAGTGGGGAACATCTGCAATCATTACAAGAGGGGAAATGCTCATCCCAACCAATGCTCCCTCTAAGCTGTGGAGTCTTGTGAGCAAAAATTCTACTTTGTGAGCTACTGGCATTGTGAGCGAGTGATTTGGCTACTGCATAAATTAGTTTGCTCTGGAGCCACCCTTCCTGAGCTAAGACAAAAATGTGTGAGCCGAAGACTCAAAAACTGTGAGCTAGCTCACACTGACTCAGCTTAGAGGGAACACTGGTCCCAACCCTTTTGTTATATGCTTCACAAGGAGATAAATTTTATTTATTTACTTACTTCATATACACCCTGCCTTTCTCCCCACTGGGGACCCAGAGTGGCTTTCACTATTAGTCTGTCCTCCATTTTATCCTCACAACAACCGTTGTAAGGTAGGTTAGGCTGAGAGCGGCTGACTGACCCCAAGGTCACCCAGCAAGTTTTCGTGGCATACTATTATTAATAATATTGTCATTACAGTATTTACCTCATTTTTATCGTGACATTTGATACAGCAGTATTAGAACATTTATCCTACCTTTCCAATCTACAAAGGGCCACTGCAGTCACTTACATCAAACAAGCAATAAAACAATAAAGTATCATGAACTGCCATTGCCATAAATTGCCATCATTGTAAAACTAACTCCACCTGCTAACTAATCAAGTTAATGGAACAAACTTTGTCCATTGTGTGCCTTTCTAAAGGCACAAATATTAGCCATTCCTCTGACCTCCTGTTGAGTAGTACTTGGTACTCATACAGATGTGTCAGTCCCAGGTTATGAAAGGCTTTAAATGTAAAAACTAGCACCTTGAATTGGAAAGAAACAGATAACCAGCAATGCTTCAGAATCAGTTACCTACTGCAATCAAGCTGCTCTAGCCAGTGTGCAGATGCATTGTTACCAGCTGGAGTGTTTGAACTGTTGGGTTCCATAGAATGACAATGCCTAAACATTTAGATCATCTGGCTACTCCACCATGGAAGAGTTTGGGGGGGAAACCGGAGCAGCTGAGTGAGAAAGACTTAGAAATTCAACGGTCCTGGAGAATCCAGGTAAGAGGCAGTCTGAGACTCATGTCAATTACAGAGTGGTAGCCATGTTAGTCTATTGTAGTAAAACAAAACCGAAGGCCAGTGGCACTTAATTTATACAGCATTTATTCCGGCATGAGCTTTCATGAGTTAGAGCTTGCTTGATCAGATGCAAGGGAAAAAATAAAATCATTTCCCTCATTTTTATTCAGAAAATTACAGGGGAGGGGAGAATAAACGTTGTTAGATTTTGAGGTGCCACTGGACTTCTGTTTTGTTTTACTTTGTGCCTCACACAGTAAAATAACG